TCATGACCAGAGCTCATGACGGGGTGGTGGACCCTCTGTAGAAGAAGGGGGAGGAGGGTTTGTTCCAACTCTCGGGGAATCTCACTCCTCAGCCTCCCCGGTCTGTGTCAGGGACTGGGGAAGAGAATCCGGCCAAGAGTCCAACCTCGGGTCCAGGAGGAGCAGTGTGGTTTTGGTCCTGGTCGTGGACACTGGACCAGATCTACACTCTCCATCGGACTCCAGGTTCATGGGAGTTTGTACAGTCCACATGTGTTTTGTGGATCTGGAGGAGGCCCCGGGGAAGAGCCAGGACACACTGGAGGGACGATGTCTCTGGACTGGACTGGGAACACCTCAGGTCCCACTGGAGGAGCTGGAGGAAGTGTCTGGGGTGAAGGAAGTCTGGGAGTCTCTGTTCAGACTGATGCTCCGAGACCCGACCCCAGAGAAGAAGAAGAACATGGAGGACGTTTCTCAAAGACGACTTCAGAAACACTGATCTGTCTCGCCTCTCCACAGATCTGACCTGTCACTGCGCCTGAGCAATCTAAAGCTCGTCTCTATGGCAACAGAACCGGTTCAGTCCCGGTTCAGTTCCCGGTTCAGTCCTGGTTCTGGAGCAGATGTGTTTTTGTGCTCACTGAATTTTAATGATTTCATTTGCATTTTAACAACTGCCAACAAACAAACACAGAACTAAACCAGGACTAAACCAGAACTAAACCAGGACTAAACCAGGAACTAAACCAGAACAACAGGTCTACATCAGGTCTGAACCGGGTCTGGTCTTTGTGGGGATTATTTGTTATAAACAGCTGATGTGTCTGTTTCCGTGGCGACCGTCGTGTGGAATCTATTAACATTTAAACATCTGCTCCTCCGACAAACAGACAGGTGCGCACCTGTCACACGACAGGAGCGCACCTGACACACGACAGGAGGCACCTGTCACATGACAGGAGCGCACCTGACACACGACAGGAACGCAACTGACACACGACAGGAGGCACCTGACACACGGCAGGAGCGCACCTGACACACGACAGGAGGCACCTGACACACGACAGGAGCGCACCTGACACACGACAGGAACGCACCTGACACATGACAGGAGCGCACCTGACACACGACAGGAGGCACCTGACACACGACAGGAGGCACCTGACACACGACAGGAGCGCACCTGACACACGACAGGAACGCACTGACACACGACAGGAGCGCACCCTGACACACGACAGGACACACACGACAGGACGCACCTGACACACGGCAGGGGCGCACCTGACACACGAAGGAGGCCCTGACACACGACAGGAGGCACCTGTCACACGCACCTGGACACACCTGTCACACGGCAGGAGGCACCTGACACACGACAGGAGGCACCTGACACGCGGTGGAGCAGGTGAACAAACAGAAGTTTAATCAGAGACTGTTTGAACAAAACCCTCTGTCCCAGCGACTCAGAAAAGAACTAAACCAGGACTAAACCAGGACTAAACCAGGACTAAACCAGGACTGAACCGGGACTAAACCGGGACTGAACCAGGACTATAGACCCAGACAGTTTTGATTTTCAGATCTGGACTTATGGATCTGACCTGGTTTTTCTCTTTGTTTGACTGATGTGGGTCTGACCTGCTCCACCCCCCCCCCCCCCCCCCATCATCCTCCATCCCTCTCTCTCTCTCCTCTCTCTCCTCTCTCTCTCTCTCTCTCTCTCTCTCTCTCCTCTCTCTCTCTCTCTCTCTCTCTCTCTCTCTCTCTCTCTCTCTCTCTCTCTCTCTCTCTCTCTCTCTCTCTCTCTCTCTCTCTCTCTCTCTCTCTCTCTCTCTCTCTCTCTCTCTCTCTCTCTCTCTCTCTCCCTCTCTCGTCTCTCTCTCTCTCTCTTCTCCTCTCCTCAGTCTCTCTCCTTCTCTCTTCTCTCTTTCTCTCTCTCTCTCTCTCTTCTGTCTCTCTCTCTCTCTCTGAAAGGAAATGAGGAATTCAGAAAACTTAGAAAAAATGAAAAATGAAGGATGAAGAAGAAAATATGAAAGGATGAGGAGGAGGAGAGGAGGAGGAGGAGGACGAGGACGAGGACTCACCCGAGACAGGACGACCTCCAGAGAGACGTTGAGAGGAGGAGCACTGGGAACTGCAACAGGAAACACAAACATCACACAAGAAGAAGAAGAAGGAGAAGATCACAGAGGCCTGCTCCTGCTGTGGGGTAAAATGTGATTTAAACATTCAGTGGTTTCACTTTCACTTTCACTTTCACTTTCTCGATCATTCGTCTCGTGGCAGGAGAAACTTCTTACTTCTTCTTGTAAAAGTTTTAAAGATCTGCAAACAAATCTGGTCACTGTCGATTATCTGAGGCTCCAGGACACGGTGAGATCAGCCACATGACCCGGGGACGAGACGCACCTGTCACCTGCACCTGTCACCTGCACCTTACCTGTCACCTGCTCCTGTACCTGTACCTGTCACCTGTCACCTGCACCTGCACCTGCACCTGTCACCTGTACCTGCACCTATCACCTGTACCTGCACCTGCACACCTGTCACCTGCACCTGTCACCTGCACCTGTCACCTGTACCTGTCACCTGCAACCTGTCACCTGACCTGCCACCTGTACCTGTCACCTGTCATCTGCACCTGTCACTTGTTCCTGTCACCTGCCACCTGCACCTGCCACGTGTACCTGTCACCTGTACACTGTCACCTGTCACCTGTTCCTGTCACCTGCCACCTGCACCTGCCACCTGTACTTGTCACCTGCACCTGTCACCTGTTCCTGTCACCTGTCAGCTGCCATCTGCACCTGCCACCTGCACCTGTCACTTGTTCCTGTCGTCTGCACCTGTCATATGTACCTGTCACCTGCACCTGTCGCCTGTTCCTGCCACCGGCACCTGCCACCTGTACCTGTGCACTGCACCTGTTCCTGTCACCACCTCACCTGTACACCTGTACATGTCACCTGTACCGTACCCTGTCACTGCCACCTGCACTGCACTTGTCACCTGCACCTGTCACCTCTGTCACCTGGTTCAGCTGCCATCTGCCACCTGCACCTGCATTGTTCCTGTCGTCTCACCTGTACCTGTCACCTGCTGCACCTGCCACCTGCACCTGTCACTTGTTCCTGTCGTCTGCACCTGTCATATGCACCTGTCACCTGCACCTGTCACCGGCCTGGGCAGGTGCCTGTCCTCCTGAGTGGAGGTCGACCTCCAACAACTTTTACACCAACACAAATGAAAACGAAAAAAACAACAAAAAACAACCAAACTAAAAGCTTC